CAGACAACCCAGTACCTGAGGGCACTAGTGGTGGTGACAGCGGTCTTCGGCAAACTGGCCAGTGACCAACCAGGCCTCCAAGGACCACAAGCACCAAGAAGGTACCAAACCATCCCCACAAAGGTGCAGAACACAGCTGCTGGCGTCCCTGGGTGGGTTTGAACCACCAACCGTTCAGTTAACAGCTGAACACACTGACCAATTGCGCCCCAGAGACCAATGTCAGTGTCACCCCCAGTGACGCTGTAGGACATGGACAGTCGCTGTAGTCACCTCCCATCATCTGCTGGGCTGTGTCCCCTCCCAGCCCCGCTGCTCCATCTGCTCACTGCGGGGGCAGCATGTGAGAGAAAGAAGGCCGTGGCGCTATGCAAACACCATTCAGCAAACAGCAAAAGCGCTGGTGCCTCACCAGGACTGTTTTGCCTACAAATCTTAAAACACAGCACTCTGTGGGTTGCTAGGAAAAGAATTAACTCCATCCCAGCCAAATGACGCTCTGCTTCCGGCTTCCCTCTGAGATAATAGTGTTGAGACAGTTCAGCCATTGATTATGCATGGATTATAACACTCTAGCAATGATTTAATCCAAATATTTTCTGAGGATAGCACTTTGCTATCCTCATCTTGCACAAACAACACTAGCACAATGCGTGCCAGTGACTAATACATTATGCACACACACAAAAAGATAAGGATAGAACTTCCCGTTTTTTTCTACCCTGAACTTGTAAGAAAAAAAAAATATATTCAAGCAAAAATCCACATAATCTCCTATTTACCAGTGAAGATGTGTTAATTCCCAGGTTTTCTTACATGATTTAAGGAGTTTATATCATGACTGGCATCCAAGAGGCTTTTTACTACCGGTACATTATTATTGATGACTGCTAAATGGAGAGGGGAATTCTTCTGCTGTGGAGGGAAAAATAATAAAACTATTATACTTGGGTACATTCATTATAAGTTTATTCAACAAGAACAAAGTTTTTGTTAAAATCTGGCCCTTGCAAAGGTGATATGCTCCAGTGGAGGTCTGAAACTACACAAGTGCAGAGTTATGCCAGGGAGGGCATCCTGCTCCTGCAACACCTACTGCACCAGGTAAACAAATACAGCTGAGAAACCTGGAAAGGTGGAATGCATGTGTTATGTGTATCAGTGTGTGCCCATTTAGGAATGCAGCCAGGTGCTCCTCTTACGAATCTATACCTGGCATGTTCTGCTACCCTTGGCTGACAATACTGGCCTTAGATTACTGTTTCTGTACCTTCAGGAAAATGGGTTGCACAGGCTTGAGACAGACTACATCCATCAGATTCTACTTTACAGGAATAAACTCCCGTCACATATTGCTGCTGTAAACGTTTTTCATACTAAACTGACTCACTATCATATTTATACAAAGAAAATTACAGCTAGAGAGCAATTATGGTGGGTTTCTTTGAGTGACTATTCATTAAAATAACTGCTGCACAGGTCAAACATCAGTCACAATCCAACCATTAGTTTGCAAGATCACTTTGCACGTTGAACCTGTGACTCACCAGTTTCTTGCTACATACAGCTAAAAAACACTTCCATACCAGTGCTGCTCATGGGTGCCAGACATCATTTCATTAGTGTCTTTATAAACCACAACCATTTCTTTAGGGCTACAGAAAAATAATTTGCAACGCAGCACAGGAATTGTTTCCAAAATGTAAGTTAAAATGTCATGGGTTGCTTCTACAGAAAGCCAATGAGAACAAGCAGAAAAACAACTGCCTAATCTTTAGAATAAATTATTTGAAGCACATCATAAATTGTTCTTCCTTGATAACATCAGGCAACAGGGCAGTGGTCATGGTAGATAAGTCATGAAGCCCAGATTCTAGTTTCATCCTGTCCTGTAAAAGTGGAAAATAATTTCCTATTCACAGAAAATATCAAATGTAACAAGACCTGTAAAATCTAAATTGATATAATATTTGAATATAAGGAACACCTCTTTCTTTTTAAACTCCAAAGAACGGTGGCATGCAGATCATGAAGGCACACACAGGCTTTGAGTGCAGAGGGCGAAAGCACTGAAGCGTTTATTTACCTTTTCTTTACCTTTATTCAAAATCATTTGTAAGTGTTAACTCTGCCCATGGCCCACACAGAAGCCTGCATTCTGCTGCCTAGTTCCAGCATGATACTTTGCTCATCATCTCCTAATTCCTGGCCCTTGGCTCAGTCTGCCCAGCTCTAGACAGCAGTGCACGAGTCTGCTCAGGCTCCCACTGGGTATGTGCAACAGGGCCTTGTCTTTTTTGGTCCATACATAATAAACAGCATCCATAAACCATGTAATACTCTGTGTACTAAAATAATAAAAGAACTAGTTGACCTCGTTCAGCTGTCTGAATTCCCAAAAAAGGCCACAGAAGACAGGATGTGCTGAACAACAGCAGAAAAGTTATATTGATATACACTCACCTCAGGTTTAGGAACCAGGTCAATATTCTTATCAATAAGAAAAGTAACCAAAGATAGATGTCCATTCTGAATTGCAATCTGCAAAGCATTGCTATTGTTCTGAAAGAAATGGTATAGACAGCAAAAATTTACTGTTTTGTTGCTGGAAGAACAGTACTAAAGAGAGTTATCAATACAGGATAATCTTTTGTTGAAATTTATTATCCTCTTCTCCCCTAGAAAAACCCCTTGCATAAAATTATATAAAATCATGTGGATCAGCAGTTAGCATGGTGTGTTTTTGTAAATACTGAAGGAACTTTCCTTTTTCACTATATTACAACATGCTAAACCCACCATTATTCTGTAGTGCTTTTCATTCTCTCATAAGAAAGATCATAGAATCATAGGGGCTTGAAGGGACCCCTGAAGATCATTGTCCAACCCCCCTGCTGCAGCAGGAACACCTAGGACAGATCACACAGGAATGTGTTCAGACAGGTCTTGAAAGTCTCCAGAGAAGGAGACTCCACAACCTCTCTGAGCAGCCTGTTCCAGTGCTCCATCACCCTCACAGTAACGAAGTTTTTGCTCATGTTGAGGTGGAATTTCCCATGTTGTAGCTTGGTGACATTTCCCCTTGTCCTATCACAGGGCATCACTGAAGAGAGATTGGCCCATTTTTGACACCCACCCTTCAGATACTTGTAAAGATTCATAAGGTTCCCTCAGTCTTCTCCAGACTAAACAGCCCCAGGTCTCTCAGCTGTTCCTCATCAGACAGATGTTTCAGTCCCTTAATCATTCTTATAGCCCTCCATTGTACTCTCTCCAGTATATCCCTATCCCTCTCAAACTGGGGAGCCCAGAACTGGACACAATACTCCAGATGTGGTCTTACTAGGGCAGAGTAGAGGGGAAGCTGAACCTCTGTTGACCTGCTGGCCACACTGTTCTTAATGCATCCCAGGATACTATTTACTGTTTTGGCCACAAGAGCACACTGCTGTCCCATCGCTAAATTGCTGTCCATCAGGACCCCAGGGTGCTTCTCCATGGGGCTGCTGTCTAGCAGGTGAACACCTAATCTGTATTGATGCCTGGATAAATTACCATTGCTAACTATCCTGTGCCATGGATGCCAACGCAAACATGTCTCCCAGTCTGTTCGTTCAGTTAGACCTTCAGCAAGCAAGTACAGTCACAGTAGCAAACTTTGAAAATAAATTAATATAATATCTTCACTTAATAATTCTGATAAAACAAACCAGCTCTCAGTCTGCTGGAATCATAAACTGCTCACAGCAGGCAAGCAAAGGCCATTCAACAGACGTGAGCTGGTCTGGAGTACAGAAACCAGATGTGACAAACAGGTTTGTCACCGGTTCAGGTATAGACAGTGCTAAAAATGAGGATTTTCAATTATACTAGTTGGTTACCTTTCCTAGCCATTTATTTTACTATTGCACATAGAGTAAGCAAAAAAGCTCCACCACAGAACTCCATCAAATCAATCTATGCTATACTTCTTCTACATCAGTTTTGTTCTGTGAGCACTCTCCACATTCCCAATTCCTTTTTTTTTTTTTTTTTTTAAACAACCATTTCATAAAAACAAACAGAGCAAATATACTGTTGGCACACACAGGAAAGAGAAGATAAGGTCCCTCCCACAGCCCAAGCTGTCCCTGCACCTGTGTGCTGGAGTAATACCATGTACATACCTGAGTTAAAACGTTGATGTCACTCCCTGCTTCCAGTAAGAGTTCAGCACATTTTTCATTACCTCCTTCAACTGACAAGTAAAATGGAGTTTCTCCATTCTAGATCAACAGAGAGAAAACGTTCTGGTTTAAGCCACGTGACTTTAAGACTGTGACACAAAACAGCTGTGACACAAAACAGGTTAGCTGCATCAGATATATCCAGCTCAATAGAAAAAGGGAGATGGTTACGAGAGAAGACAACTTGAGTGCTCCTAAATTAACACTTAAATGATACAGCATTTCACCAACACTGATGACAGTACTGTAAACAGAGGTAAAGCAAAGTTTACAATACAGATAACTATTTTATAAATATTAATCATGCTCTTTTCAAATAAGATGACTAGCAACACACAAAGAAACAAAGATGGTGTGTAGCTCTTGCTGCCATTCAACATCAGACAATGGAGCCATCATGCTAGCACACACCATTAAGTGCCAATTTCTGTCAGTCAAATGCCATGGACTTCTGGCAAATTCCCAATTCCAGTGCTAGTTATAAGGAGCACTTTTAGCAAGAAATAATCCTGCTGCATAGTAATTTCAAATCTTCTCAGCCCAAAAGAGTCTCCATGTCTCCACAACTAAATATAATAAATTACTTTGGCTGCACAATGACTTAATCAGTGCTTCCCAACACCTAAAATACAGAAAGGTTTAGTTGAGTTACTCTAGCATTTCAGCATTCACAGAATCATCAACAGATCCTGATTTTTCCATGCTTGGAATCTTGTCACCGTTATTCTGCTTAATTTAATAAATTTTAGTGCTCTGCTTATACTGGGTAAAAAGAGAGACCTGTTTATCCACAGACCAGAACACCTCTGGCTGGACAGGAAGGTCACATCATTAGCCATTCCAACGCAGGGACACAAGCAGTACATGAATCGCGGACTCACAGAATCACTCTGGTTGGAAAAGACTTTTATGATCATCGAGTCTAACTGTACCTCACTGAGTCCAGGGCTTAAACCAAGTTCCTAAGTACCACACCTACATGCTTTTTAAACACCTCCAGGGGTGGTGATTCAACCACTTCCCTTTGTGTGCAAAAGCAACAATGTTCATAGACAAGGTTTGGAAACACAAGGGTTTCATATTTCAAAGGGGCTCATGTGCTGGGTATGCATGTTGAACTGGCTCAGGAAAGAGACCAGAGAGAGTAAAAGGAGTAGGATCATGTGGCCCAAAATGTTGGGAGAAAGGAAGAAAGACAGAGGTTAGGCCCTGCTGTTTCCTTCTACCAGTAGTTAGGGCTTGCAAGACAGAGTTGATATTTCTGTGTGAGGAACAGAGGACTGTGAAAGAGACATTGGAAGAGACAATGGAGCTTAATTTATTGGAGGGGAAACAATGAAACAGGATGCAAACAAAAAAGCATCAGAGGTAATGAAGTCTATTCCATGCAGCGTTTATTCATTCAAACTTTATCTGCTTCAGTAATTTATGTGTCCTTACCTCATTGAGGTCATTTATTTCCTCCCACTGTTCAAGCAGAATTTCTACAACTTCACTGTGACCATTTTTGGCTGCTAGATGCAATGCTGTGTTTCCCTCCTTGAAATTAAAACATCAAATAAGACATTTTAAAACACAGAATAAGGTCAAAATATTAAGTAAAAACAACATGCACTCAGAAAACCAAGCCTTTCCATCTCGCTTTTACATACAAGCCAAAGGAGGCAGATCCATACAGCACGTTCCAAGATTCAGACTAATTTGAAAGGAACCTTTTAGTATGTATGCAGACATGATCTTGGTCTAGTTGCTTGTCTTCTGAAAACTGCAGTGTACTACCGAGGAAAAAATTTAAAATTTTAACTCCAAGAGAATGAATTAGAAGAAAACTTTGGGTGCTGGTTCCTACAAGGACGGACACATCAATATCCCAAAAAGACTCACTTAAAACAGCCAAAACCTAGGTAAGTATATATAATCTTGTAGTGGCTTTGATGCCTATGTGACAATCTTCAACCCTTTTCACCATCAGTACAATTCCTCACTAGCTAAGAAAAAAAATAGCACACCAGCAAGAAAATAAAAACAAAGGGAAAGCTAGATTATCAGAGGAGCAGCACCTTTTGAGCTAAAAGACCATGCTGGCATGGGAACATGAAGTAAAAAAACCTACTCTTTAGGATGGTAGTACCCACCTCCCATCATTCCTGCCTTACACATTCAGCCTGCTAGATGTCTGAGATAACACAGCTATTTAACTGCTGCTGATAAACTACATAGTGCACCACAGTTCCAAGACGAAACAACAAAAAGTAGCATAACTTCCTGGGTGCTTGATTACATGGTTCTCTAAGTGCAGTATCCGACAATTTTACAGTTTTTCATGTATTTATCCTTGAAATGCCTCAGAGGCAGAGAAGCTCTGACAAGATCCTTCCACAAATAGTTAAGTAAGGAAATTTAAAGGCAGACTTTAAACAGTTTTTTTCCACACCTTAAACTGAAGTGTCAAAAGCAAACTCCATCAGATTGAAATATTTAGGCACTTCTGAAAAATCCTCATGGGTGTTTATTTGGATCCTGAAGAATTAACAACTTTGAAAAATTAGTCATGTGGGTTTTAGCACTGAGATTCAGGCACAGCAGAGAAGACTGAAAAACTGGGAGAAGATCTCGCTGTAGAGAGGTTGGCACATCGATCACCAGACTTTCCCACTTTTCCCAAAAGACAGTGTATGCTAGTCTTGCTTTACATTAATTAGTAATACAGATGGAAAACTGTCCTGGCAGTAAAACCAGAAGTTTCACTGTCCTCAGTTATTTAGAGAAAAATCATAATCCTTGTGTATCTGTTGGCACCATGACATCTGCACAGGTCATTCTTATCTCTTCGTTAGTAATAACTACACTGAAACAAAGTAATCTTTCACAAGCACATCTTTAGTTGTACTTCTCTGGAGGAGAAAGCTTTACCTTATCTTTTTCAGATGTAAAGAGCTTCAGAGTTATCAAACTGTTTATCATGTCAACATGGCCTTTCTCCGATGCCAAAAGAAATGGCTTTTTACCATTCTAGAAAAAAAAATAGGGA